AGACAAATACAGTTGTCAAATATTCTAACCCAGGCAGCTATTTCCTTAGGGGAGCAATAGGCATTGAAGTGTTGTTTCTAGTTAAAGACTTGCTTAACTTGAATTCCATTTTCTAAATTTTTTAGCAAGACTTTTTTTTTTTTTTAATAAAATTTTACATGGAGCTTCAATATGGAAAACCGATAAAAAGGTATTTTAGAAGCATACATTTATTTCACAATTTCTGTTTAATAATAATTACTGATAACGTCAAACAGAGAGCAATGAGACTGGCTTAAGGAATGTAAACTTGAAATTAGGCTTAGAGAACAATTGCCATTTTATGTCAGCCTTAGCATCTGATTTTGTTTCAGTTGCATAGTATTGAGAGAATGCCAATTCACTCATACTGAGTTTACATTTCAATAGATTTTTAAACAACTTCTCTTATAGTCTCAGAATGTTCTATAATAAAACAGAGATGGCAAGAGAAACCTCATTTCCAGTTTTTAAAAAAAGTTTGTGAGAATAAAAGAAAATTACCTAGAAACACTAGCTAAAGATGGAATCTCTCATGTACTACAATTTGGCATATAACATATTGGAGTACAAGTGTTTTTTATTATAGTTTTTAAATAGGTAAAAATATTTTAAAATAAAATTCATATTATTTTGCTTGTCACACTCCACAAGGATCTCTGGAGAATCTCTGAATGTAATATGATAAATTCTCCCATTAGAGTAATCCTCAATTTAGTGGCTATGTAGCACAATGCTTTTTTTTTTTTTTTTAAGAGATTTCAGGTTAAACCAAAAAGTTAAAAAACAAAGTAGTTGTTGGATCTTCCACAAAATGCAGCAGATTTTGTATTGTTTTACGTTATCATTTACTTAACAAATATCCAGCAGATCACTAAAGAGGTTCCCTGGGCATACCTGGCAGAACAGATTACTTACCCTTATGGCCATGTGCGCACCCAGCCACAACTCTCTGTCCAAGCCATCTTCACAGATATAGGAGAGGTAACGTAATTCATCAAAGAATAGTCTAGCAAGGACAGTTATACTAGTCTTATGGAGACCTCAAGCATAAAGGGGATTTGGAACTATGCGCACTTTGTGATAGCGAACGAGGTCAAAGAAAGTCATCCATCCCATCCTGTCCTCTGGAAACAGCTCGAAGATGAGGTGACCAATAGCACAAAAATCCCAAAGAATCACCCCAAGCACTCTTTCTGCTGCTAAACATCCAGAGTAGAAGTAGCAGAGAGATAAGATCCTATCAAATACCTGAAATAGAAATAACTAATTTTTTCATCCAAATTTTATTCACCCTTTAAGGTCTAACATAAATTCATGTCATCTGTGAAGCTATCCCCATTCTGATCTTTCTCTCTTTCTGTTCATGTTACCGTAGCTAATCCAACATCTATTTTTTTATCCCTTCTCTACCTCCTCTACTGAGGCTGGAAGAGCTAATACTTTCCTAACCTCTCTTTGGTAGGGTTAGCTGCATCACAGCAGCCAACTTGCAACCATGAAAGAAAGGCCAAGGGAAAAGCCGGGGTTCCAGCACAGGACCTAGAGTCCTGGCTTCATTAAACTGGTGAACGAACCACCTACCTGTGTGCTGCTTACACGGGAAAAAATTGGCCTTCATTTGTTTAAGCCTGTTAGATTTTTTTCATTACTTGCATCGAAAAACATTCCTAATTTATGCAACCCCATATGTGACATGTCCTACACAGCCTTGCATATTCTTTTTGAGTGCCTTAACGTGTGTCAATTATGTGAAAATTATGTTATAATCATTGTCTGATTTAATCACAGCAACCCTATGAGGTAGGTACTGTTACCCCATTTTACAGATGTGGAAACTGAGGCACAAAGAGATTAAGTAACTACTGTATATTATAATATTATACTGCCTTGCATTATTAGTTAACTGTTCCCCCCTTACAATTTTAAATTCTTTGAGTGCAGGAGCCACAGTTGCTTAGAACATACTTGTTAAATGGAAAACCAAAGTGTGGAAGTGTCCACAAAAACTGGGCAATTTTGTCCCTGACTTGTCAAGCCTCTGAGCCCCGCATCCTGCCATAGAATGCTATTTAGCCACAGGCTACAGTCATCCTTCAAGGTTCAGGGCTGGCTAGGTCACATAAAGTTGGCCTCATCTGAAACTCCAGAAGTCCACCACAGAGGTGGGGCCAGCAGCAAGTTGTCCATCGTCTGCAGTGGACATGATGAATCATGGATTCTGAGCAAGGTCATAAAAGGCTATTAGCATTTAAGAACTATAAGCAAAAGTAAAAGGCAGACACTGCATCTCCTATTGTTTGTATTATTTTAGATGGATAATAGTATTATACATTCACCAAAATGTTCATGAATTAATTTTTTTAAGTGTGTGATGGGGCAGAGAGAGTGGGGAGTGATGTTTCATCTCTTAAAGGAAACATTTAACAATGTCAGACAACCAGGGGACATGTTTTTGATTTGGTAATGATTTGATCTTTTCTCATTAATATCTCTATGTAAATACTAGTATTAGGCAGTTATAATGCAATGTAAGGTACACTGGACTTGGAGTCAGCACTAATGGGGTGAGGTCCTAGCTCTCTGCAACTTAGCAGTGTGACAAGGAGCAAGTAACTACACCCCTTAAGCCTCAGACATAAAACGGCGAGAGTTACACCTGCCTCTAGGGTTGCTGTGAGGCTCAAACAAGATATAGACATGAAAGAACCTTATCAATGGTAAAGCACTGAACAAATGTTAAGGATTACAATTACTGATAGTCCCTTCTAACATCAGTGACTTAACTGTCATTCCTTACCCAGCATGTACCAGCATGTATGAGATAAATCTCCAGGCTTCCTCCCTCTTCGTAGGATTGTAGATAAATGGACTTTCCAAGATGCCTGTGTCCAAGGTGATCCACTGTTTCTGAGGCTTCCACACAGCATAGTAAATAAACACTGCCAGCTGACAGGGAGGGACAGACATGGATATTAACCACACCTTCTGCAGAGAGGCCCTCCTAAAGCCCATTGGGCACTACCTTTGTTTCAAATGGTTAGCTGTCAAGTGGGACACTTCGTAGCATGTGTTCAGAAGATGACAGAAATTACATTTCCCTGCCATATATTTGACCATATAATTGTGGTCATATCCTACTTCCTTAAGAAATTAGGAGCAGCCCTAGCCCAAACTGCAAAGACTCTTTCTTAACCTCTTTTTCCTCTTAAATACCCACTGCGCTCATCATTCTTGCCTCCACCATTTGGTCTTTCATTTACAACTTACTATGAAATTAAGTCACTGCTGGCTTCCAAAGAATAGCGCAGGGCAAGGGAAATATAGTAACTTTACAGTTGAGAAACCTGGCAAACACAACCTAAACCAAGTGATGAAGGCTAATGTCATCAGGGATATCAGGTGGAATGTCCTTTACTCCCTGATGCGATGTGAATGTAAAGAGAAGGGCATTTCACCTCTTTGGTGTTCTTCCCCCAAATCCATACCTCCAGTCTTATCATGAGAAAAACATCAGACAAATCCTATATTCTACAGGATACCTGGCCAGTACTACTCAAGACTAGCAAAGTCATGAAAAACAAAGACAAATTGAGAAACTGTCACAGATTAGAAGAGACTGGGAAGGCATGGCACTTAATGCAATGTGACATCCTGCATTGGAGGGTACAGGAGGGACAGAAAGAGGATATTAATGGAAAAATTGGTAATTATCCGAACAAAGTCTGGAGTTTACTCAATAGTAATATACCAACGCAAGTTTCTTAGTTTTGACAAATGTACTATGGAAATGTAAGATATTAACAGTGGGAGAAGCTGTGTGAAGGGTGCATGGGAACTCTCTGTACAATCTTTGTAACTTTTCTATCAAGCTAAAATTATTCTAAATAAAAAATGTTTTGAAAATAATTTTTAGTAAAAAAGCTGCTCTTGCTGTGACAGGCAGGTATCTCAGCACCTGCCCCATAATCTTTCTGTGGAAAACTGCCTTGTCCATAGCACTCATTGTCTAAGCCATCATGTTGTGTACCATGTGACCATATCCCATTCTTGTCCACCGCCACCACAGACACATGATGTGGACATGTGGCTAAAAGGAGAACACTAGATAGAATGCTGAAAAAAGCAGAAAGAATTCTTATGGCTTCCTAATTGCAGGTTGTCTCACAATAAAACCCCTTGAGAAAACTTAGAGCTATGCCTCTCTAATCAAAACAGCCTTGACAAAAGCTTCTCCCAGGAATCTTTACACGTTAGTCTTATCTTTATCTGAGCCATAAGAGGCTAGATCCCAGTGATAGTTCATTTTATGTGTTGACTGGGCTAGACCACAATACTCAGAAGGTATTTTTAGAGAAGATTAATGTTTAAATCCGTAGACTTTGATTACCCTCCTTAATATGGGTGAGCCTTATCCAATCAGTTGAAGGCCATAATAGAACAAAGACTGATGCCCTCTGAGGAAAAGGGAATTTTGCCAGCAGACTGCCTTCAAATCCCAGCTGCAACTCTTATCCCGTAGGTCTCCAGTCTGCCTGCCCAACCTGTAGATTTTGAACTTGCCAAGCTTCCACAATGGCATGAGCCAATTCTTTAAATTAATACCTCTCTCTCAATATATGTGTAGATAGATAGATGATAGATAGGTAAATAGATAGATAGATAGATAGATAGATAGATAGAGATAGATAGATAGATAGATAGATAGATAGATAGATAGATGATAGATAGATATGTACGTATAAACACATCCTATTGGTTCTGTTTCTTCTAAAGAACCCTGACCAACACAATCCCTGATAAGGAAGTTGAGGCATTGGTGGGAATTAAGAGGATTACATTAAGGACTTCCAAATGCCCTTGAAGTCCTCTGCCAATTTCTTTACGAGACTTCATGGTGTGGGGAAAAAAAAGGTAAGTTTAATGAGGTTCAGGAGAAGCCCAGTCCTGGCTCAATCACTATGTATGTGACCTGGAGCAAGTTATTCCACATCTCCCGGCCTTGTACTCTCTTTGGGAAAACAAGAGGACTGACTAGATCTGAGTCTGAAAACACACTCATGCTGCCCATTGTAGACATCATTAGAGGATCCTATTTTTTCCCCACTAAGTTTTGGAGGCAGCCAATAACTCTTGTAAACATATAGCTCACCAGCCAATCTAAGTCAGTTCACGAAATCAAACCAATTTGCAGTCTCAAGAATATTTGGTTTCCAAAACCCCCACCAGCTAAAATGAAATGAAGCCGCTGAAGTTATAGTCACTGCCGGGTGGGGGACTTGTTTGAAAAATAACGCTTAACCTTTGACTAAAAATAACTGGGAAAATAGGAAAAACCTGGAGAGAGAACTCTGCAGAGGATGAGGTTAAATTACATGCATGCTGTACTTGCCACCCTCGAGCTCTCTTCTTACACATTTTCCCGTCTCTTACCTAGATCTGAGCTAAACCCCAGTTCATTTGCAGTTTCCCAATGGTACTCACACTAGTGCCCACCACCGAGCATGTTTACCTCAGCAATGCTAATGGAGATGATGAACACTGGAGGTGGGAGGCAGTTAGCTCTCTCCAAGTATGTTCTTCGGACATTTTCGGGAAGCATCCACTTTGAGACAATCCTGTGGACCTTTTTATTCTTGAAGGGATCTTTACCTTTTCCATCCTCTTTCATTTCCTTCTCTTCCTCCAGCTCTTCTTCTATGTCTCTACCCATATTCATATTCACATCCTCCATCTCCAAATCATGAGCAGCAGCCATCGTCCTTGGTCCTACCTCCACCTGAAAGGGACATGAATATCAGGGAAAACCGGATGACCCTACAGTCCTCAGGCCATGGTTCTTTCCTGAGTTTTCTGGCATAATTATTGGTTTCCAAAGCCTTTACTGTATGTTAATAGAAGGCAACTGAAGACCTGCTGTGTGCCCAAATACTCATAATATCCATATCCTCATCACCAGTGTGTAATTGTGACAAAGTGCTAGGGTCTTTCCAAACAAGGGACAAGGCTCCCAGGGGTCAATTCTGGTTTCATCTACTGCCACCACCCAAGAGGATGGACTGGAGCCTTGAAGTGGCAACACTACCTTGTATACCCCTTCCTTCCCCTCTGCCACTGACTTTCAAATCATCCATTAGTTTTGCCCTGAAGGTGATGTGTCTCAGAACCCAAACCATACATACTGCATAATTGAACTCAGTTTTGTCTAGCTTAACTGAGCAATCTCCTTTCCCCTCTTAGTTTCATCTTGCTTCTACTCCTAGGTTTCTGATTCAGAATCAAGTCATTTATTAAGCATCTACTATGTATCAGGGACTATGCTGGGGACTGTCACATCTGTTGACTCACTGGATTCCCACAACAACCCCAGGAAGTAGGGATTTGTAGCTCCATTTATAGATAAAAGACAGGTTCCCACCCATTTCCCAAAAACCACATAATTTTGATAAACTTCAAACTTACATCCTCTCTTTCGAAATTATCAGTATCCTTTCTAAAACATCACTGCTGCCTATTCTGCAACACACTTGAGTTAACAAGGCCATTCCCTACTGGTTCTCCAGGTACAGCATCAGTACCCTTGCTGAAATCCATCCTCCCAATAACTTTAATTTTATTTAATTTTATTGACATAAAATTAACCGATAACTCTCTGACACCTAAAACTCTTGGCTGAGTTTCTACTAATTTCTACACCCAGTGTTCCCTTGAACTCAATCCTCAACATTCAGTCATTCGGACATTTATTCAACAAATGTTCATTGAAAACCTACTATGTATCAGGCCACCATCCCTATCCCAAAATGTTTATAATGTAATGGAAGTGACAGAGGTCAATAAAAATTACACAAATAATTATATAATTACAACAGTGCTAAGTGGTACCAGGCAGATACTAGGATATTGGGCAGC